CTGTCTTTTCCCTGATCCAGCTCAAATGAGGCCAACAGGTGTTATAGTTCTGCTGGGTCTGGTCTGCTGCCATCTCAACTCATGCTCTCCAGTGGGAGTGGTGGTCCAGCAGGGGAGCCTTCCATATCCCCTCATCAGCTTTGTCTCCTCTCCCCACCCCTGGTCTTGCATGTGCTGGTTGAGTGCTCTGACCCTGTCTGACACAGCCTGTCTCACCTCAGTTTTTTGTCAGTGGATGTTGTAGCCTGGCCTGGCCAGACCCACTCGCAATTCCAGCTCAGGTTGGTGGGGGTTACAGCAAGCATGGGAACCAGGGTAGGGGACAGAGTTGGTGGGAGTTATAGGGAGTCGCTCCGACTGGGCTGCAGCTCCCACTGGTTTGCATGAGGACCGAGCATAAAGTCGGTAGGATCATGCTGGACTACAACACCCATTGGTTCATGTGGATGACAGGGCTGGAAACAGAACTGACCCAGCAATTGCAATGACCAGCAAGTGCATAAGCTGATTGGGGTGATGGACTGTGCCAGACCCTGTACTGGCAGGCACATACAAGAATCAGGTCTGGGATCATCTCCGATGAAATTTCTTTGGAGATCCCTTCAACTGAATTGCTGATCTCAGAACCTCAACCATGAAGAGACTATGTCAGCCAGTGGATTCTGAATAGGTTTCATCCTGCTTGGAATGGCAAGATTGGCAGCAATTCAGATCTGTTGAGCTATCAAAACTGCATCAGCAGGACCCTCGGAGCATGCCTCACATTGGGGACCTGGGATGGGTGGGAGGCTGGGTGGGGCTTTTCCCTTTGTTTCTCCTCTGACCCCAGATACAGGGAAAAAATGGTATTAGTGTAGAAACAACGGTATTATCCACTTTCATTCTGTAACCCTTGACCCTTTGTACCCTAATCAATTAAGTAAAATTATTTTAAAAATAATAATAAAATAAATTTTAAAAAAATAAAAAGAAAAAAATATACTACAAAGTTTTAGAATATATAATGAAAAATGTATCTTCACAGATACATTTATAACCATTCTCAGTGAATTAATATAGTTAAAATAGTAGGTAGTTTGCCAAAGAATATGAATTTAGATTGTTACCACACTAGCTAAATAAATAATTCCAGAATTATTTAACTATTTATAAAATTAACATTTTAAGGTCATATTTGTTGGAGAAAACTGAAACATTTTTAAGTCTATGAAGTAGAAAGAGGTACTTTTTACGTGCCAAAGTCATGAAAAATTATAAAGGAAACCTTCATAACTTTGATTATTAAAAAATTCTGCAATTCTATCCACCAAAAAAAAAAAAATAAAAATTTTGCAGGGGCACAAGTGATTTCATCCCCAGACCCTCTCCCGTCCCACGGCATGAGGGACAATCTGAGGGAGCCTGGAAATCTGGAGGCAATTTTTAAAATTTTGCAAGGGCATAAGTAAAATTTATCATGGGGCAAGAGTTCGGTAAAGTGCAGATGATTAAGGGAATCAGAGATCTGCTCCAGTCACAAGGCACCAACACTAAGCTTAAGGCCTCGCAGAAGTTCATTGAAACTATCTGTGATGTATCCCCATGGTTTTCTCTCTTTGTAGCCACCTTTTCCCCCTGGCACTTGGTAAAAAATGCTTTGTCATCCCCCTTAAGTGTGGTGGTGCAACCCTTCCTTGAAAGATTATCCATAAGAAGGGGAAGGGAACTGCAAACCAGGGTAAGAAAGAACCCCAAACCAGAGTAAGAAGACAGAGGGGACTCCAAATCAGGGTAAAAAAGGAAGAGGAACTCCAGGTCAGACAAAGCCTGGAGAAACTGTGCAAAGAAAATTTTTGTCTCTTGTAACTCTTAAGGTTTCATTTGTGATATTTTCAAAAATATGAAATTTTATCACAAATAACTTGGCATAGAATTAAACTAATGCACTATTAAATTATTTCAATGTATAAGTTAAATTAATGTGGTATTCATTGAATTCAAAGCATTTGTATATGTTAAAGTGATTCTGGTCTTTTTGGCTGGTTATCAAATATCTCACTGCTTTAAATTGGTAAGTTTTAAAGGTCAATAACTGAATCTAATCTATAACGTGTAATGCTAATTTCAACAACAAAAAATCTTGTTTCAGGCGTTTTTAACCATCTTTAAAAAGGCATTCAAGAATTCAAGTTTCAAATTCTAGGGCTTCCCTTGGTATTCTTACGAGGCCTCAACAATGGCAACAGATTAATCTCCCGTTTTGTGGAGACAGTTAATCAGGCTGATTGAATTATATTAAGATTATTTGCAAATGAATGTGACACACATCCCAGAATTTGGGACACTAAAGTATGTGCGTATTACTGTCAATACATGCTCTGGATTTATTTTAGCTACTCCTTATACAGGGGAACAAGTCAGGCATTCTCTGGCCCATTGCAATGCCTGTTTTTCCATATTGGGAACTCCCAAAGTTATTAAAACTGATAATGGCCCCTGATATGTCAGCAGTAAGTTTTGTGATTTTGCTGCCTCTCACCATATACAACTAATTGCAGGCATTCCTTATAATCCTCAAGGTCAGGGTATTGTGGAATGCACCAATTGTACCATTAAGGATTACCTTATTAAAACAAAAAAAGGGAGAGTATAGCACTCCCCGAGATCATTTGAACCTTGTATTATTTATCTTAAATTTTCTAACATTGGATGCTGAAGGATGATCTGCTGCAGATTGTCACTGGAACCCGTCTCAGAAGCAGAAGGGTTACGTGATGTGGCAGGATCCCTTGACTGGTCAGTGGCAAGATCCAGATCCCATCCTCATACGGGGGGCGAGGATCGATTTGTTTTCCCAGAAAACGAAAATGGCCCACGGTGGATTCCTGAGAGGCTTGTCCGCTAAGCTCCTGCTACTGAGTCTTGTGAAAGCTCGGGTACTGACCATGGTGATGGCATTTGAATCGGAAGATCTACAGAATAAGCAAGTATATTAGGTCTTTATATAAGTATATCAGTATATAGCTAAGCACCCCTCTCTTTTTCTTTTCTTTCTCCTATGAGCACCAAGGTTCTTATATTTCCTGCCTTTTCTGTGTGGCAGCTTTGTGGGGTATGTCCATACACTGGTATACGCCCCACTTTTCCCTTATTAAGGGAGGCAATTATTACTATGGAAATTATTAGTTCTATCACTCCTTTGGATCTGAGGACTCGCTCACTTGGGTGAACCTTACTTAGCTCCCTGAATTTTAAATTAGCTCCCTGAATTTTAAACCCTTATCTGCCTGTGTTATTTCCCCATTTTTTTCTCCTACATACAGAAAACATCTCTGAAGTGAATTGCACCAAGGTCAGCTGTACCCTAACAGCATGCTGAAATGGCAATGGTGATACTGCTTTTGTCATGCGGCTGCCTGGAATCCTGCCTGTGCCTGTCGGGACTGATGGAGAGGCCTCTTTCAGCCTGATAAGGAGAAAAAGAGACTTTGGCATAACATCGACCATCGTAGTCAGCATTGCCCTGATGTCGGCAGCCTCCACCACAGCAGTGGTGACCCTAGGACACCTACAGCTACCGCTGAGACCATGAACAAGCTTGCAGAACCGACTGCCTGAGCTATGGAACAACAGAACTGTACTGATAAACGTGTGGATGGGCATGTTTACGTGTTCACAGCGGGTTGTCTTGTTGGTAGAGGGGTGGATATGGTTAGGGCCTCTTGTTCCTCATCATCATGTCTTTATGTCTGTAACACCTGTGCAAGTGCAAAATGTTTCCCAAGCCCAAGAACTGCTGTCTGCTCATTGCTACCGAGCTAAAGATACTCTTAGTCATGGAACAGGGTTAACAGCTTCCCCGAGTATGGTTTGTGCAGCTGCAGCAGGCAACATGTTGAATGGCAGCCAGTGATGGGTAAGATAGACTGGGCATTGACCAACCTAAGACAGGGGTTCTGTCATGCTATGGAGATTCCTGATGACGGGTAAGGATGATAACCTGAGAGTCCACAACCTAAGACAGGCACATTCAAGTCTGCTTTACAGCAAAAAGGGGGGACCATCCTGTTGTGGGCTAAGGAGTTGATTAGTGCTCATTGGTCTGAGCAGGAACAAGAACTGGGCTTGTGGCTAAAAACACTTAGACTAATTGGACTCATCTGTATCCAATATCCTGCTAAGTGAGGATGTTGGGGAAAGAGTATATAAGGAGAGGTGAAGGAGCAATAAAGCGAGACTTAGCAGAGACTTCTACCGTCACTGGTCTCCTGTCAGTGCTTCATCCCCAGACCCTCTCTCTGTCCACGTTACTGGCTCTGCTTGGCAGAGCATTTTCCCAGGGCACAAGCAGGAAGCTGGATGGAAAGTGGGGCAGCCAGGATTAGAAGTGGTGCCCATATAGGATCCCAATGCACGCAAGGCAAGAACTTTAACCGCTACACCATCTTGCCAGGTCCACTGTTTGGACTTTTAAGCCTCAAGATTTGGCACTAAATAAAGCTTCATTTCCTCAAAAAATTTGTATGAAATATTTAATAGGAGCAACAATGACTAACTAATCCAGTCGTGTCCACTGACAGGTGTGAACATCTTTTTCTGTGCCCCTGTGGAGGAGCTACAAGAACCAACCTGGGTCCACATGTGTGCAGTTAGGTGGAGGCAGATAGGTTGGATCAGGACTGATTGATGTCTGACAGAGCAGACATCACCTCCCCCTCCTTCCTCAGAAGTGACTTGTAACCTCACCTATCTTCACTATTCATCTCTCATCTTTTCCCAAGAGAAAACATGCACTACACACAGCTTGTGACTTTTATTCCAGGCAAGAATATAGACAGAGAAGTGTATCCCAGAAGGGAGACATTGATTAATATGTCACATGGCAGTAAGGAAAGGTCTGTGCTTGGCACAAATGGCTCCCAGTGAGGTCTAAGTTCTGAGCTGGGAGATCTATGATCCAGTGGGCATCATGTAATCACAAACATTCTCACAGCAGAGAAGGTGGTACAAGACACAAAGCAGAGAGATTCTGTCATATTGAATAGGAAGGAAGACCCAGAAACCATGTGGTACAAAGAATGTAGCTTCTGATAACGGGAAAGTTTAGAAGTGTCGCACCCAGAGCCCTGGATGTTTTGTGGTTTTGTGGTTCTTTCAATGCATTGGCAGTATACCACCAATGTCATTTCAGAGTTACAATCTACAAGACCACAAGAAACTAAATTTATGCCACTGAAAGACAGTGAAGTTGTGATTATGATAGCGATAATAAAAAACTCACAACCAGGCAGATATAAGCAAGAACAAAAGGAAAATACTGGTAGAGGAGACAGCAATATGGGTGAGTGTTGGCAACAATTAGGGGTTGTGTGGCTGTTCTGAGATAGAGGCAGCTAAGAATAAGGCAGACTGACAAGCTAGCTGACAATTCAAAAGAAGAAAGAATATCTGGAGGAGAGGAGGCAGCACAGACTCAGGTGGAAGAAGCTCAGGTGGGCAAAGAGAAAGCAGGATGTGGTCAGCTCTGCAGAACATAGCACCAGGGGACAGGAGGATCGGTGAGCAGTGAAGACACTTGCTGTTCTCAGTCTTATTCCTGCCAGTTAGTGAAGCTTTCTCAGACGGAGGTGGATCCCATTTTTGGACTTCAACACAAGTCGCGTTGCAGGCTGGGGAATCCTGGCAGGATCTGGCAACAGCTCAAAGCGTAGCAGGGTCAGGGCCACAGTCACCTTCATCTCATTCATGGCAAATTGTTTCCCGATGCAGTTCCTGGGATAGGCAGGGACAATGAAGTGGGAAGTAGCTTTAGACACCCTTCTGAACTGGGCAGACATTAGTTTCTAAGTGAAACCAGGGCTGGTCATTCAGGGCCCTCCTTCATGTCGTCCAGCCTGACTTGTTTCCTCACCCATACTTCTGCTGCAAGCACTTGCCACACTGTCCTGACCTTGACAAAACCTTAACTTTCCAGGGCTTTCCTGATCCCCTTCTCCTCTCAGTAGTAGGAGATGTCTGCTGTTCAGCCACCTCTTACCTGCTCATGTCCTGTCCCTGGGTTACTTCATGGTGTTGTGGTCACTGAGAATGTTATCCTTCCACCTCTGTCTGACAATTCCTCAAGGCAAAGGCCAGTAACTGCTGAGCCCTATCTTGCTCCCAGTTGTGCCTTTCCCTCCTATGGCATCATTTTGCTTTCTTTAAGGACACACCATAGTCCAAGATAGTCCAAATTATATGGATGATTTCACAATTATCAGTTGTCATATGACCCAGCAATCCTACTTTCAGGGATATTCAAGGGAAACGGAATTCATCTGTTGAAGAGATATGCTCATTGCCTTGTTTCCTGCAACACTATTTATCACTGTCAATAAATGGAAACCACTGACTTGTTCATCCAGTGATGAATGGATAATGAAACTGGCACGTGTATGCACTATGAAATGCTACATAATCATGAAAGAGCAAAAGCTTTAAATTTCCAACTATGTGGATGGAACCAGAGGTCCTTATGTCAAGTCAAATAAAGCCAAGCTCAGAAAGACAAACATTCATGATCTCACTCATCTGTAGATTCTGAAGAATAGGTGGTCTCATAGAAGTTAAAATATGATAATTATCAGCAACTGGGGAGAAGAACTGGGGTTGAGGGGGGTTGTAGAATGGCTGATCGATGTGCACTAAGTATAGCTAGGCAGCTGTAAGATGTTTGAGGGTTCCGTTATAAAGTATTTAGTGGGTAATGTTAGTAACTTTATGTTTTTCTACTAAAACAAAGATTCAGGACTTTTGGATACTTTCACCATGAAGAACTGTCTAATTCTTGAAAGGGTAAATATATCTTGATTGGAGCTTACACAATATGTGCATATACTAAAGCATGACATAGTATACCACAGATGTGTATGTCTATTAAAATATTTAAAATAAACTCTTTTTAAAATTAAAAGAAGCTCTCTACCTACAGTGTTAGGATATACTTAATTGCAGAATGATTTGCTTGGGGGCCCGGCGGCGTGGCCTAGCAGCTAAAGTCCTCGCCTTGAACGCGCCGGATCCCATATGGGTGCCGGTTCTAATCCCGGCAGCTCCACTTCTCATCCATCTCCCTGCTTGTGGCCTGGGAAAGCAGGTGAAGACAGCCCAAAGCCTTAGGACCCTGTACCCGTGTGGGATATCCAGAAGAAGTTCCTGGATCCTGGCTTCTGATCGGCATAGCATCGGCCGTTGCGCTCACTTGGGGAGTGAATCATTGGATGGAAGATCTTCCTCTCTGTCTCTCTTCCTCTCTGTATATCTGATTTTCCAATAAAATAAAAATAAATCTTTAAAAAAAATGATGTGCTTGGGATTGTTGTTGATGAATTACACTAGTGTAATACTATAGGGGAAATCAGTGAGGGGAGAGGAAATCCCTGAGCTTATAGAACTATATAATAACAAATACAAAACTTAAAAACTTTTTAAAAAACCAGCTCAAAGTAGATCAGAGTACTAGACTAAATTGTGAAACTACTGGAGAAAAAAGGGTAACATTTCAAGACATTAATGGTCAATTATTTACTTATTTTTTATATGACCTGAAGAGCAAAGGGGAAAAAAAGCTGGAATAGATTAACGTGATTATATTAAACTAGGAGATTGGGCCCCATGCAGGCAACAATCAAGAGAGTGAGCAGACAGCTCACAGAAGGGAGACAATTAGTGTACGCTATGTATCTGACAAGGGATTAATATCTCAAATACATGAGGAAATAAATCAGTGTGAGACTGATGCACTGGTGGGGTAATTTCAATAAAGAATTGTAATCTTTCAAATATGTGACTGAAACTCAAGACATGCAAGAACATTGGACAACAAGCAGCCAAAAACCAAAAACAATCTTTAGGCTCAGCCGTTGAATGATTATCAAGTTAAATAGAAATGGCAGTGGGCTGGATTTAGAAAGTGTAATAGGAGGAGAGAGATCCATTCTTTATGAAATCTGGAGAAGCATAACAAAGTTTAGTGTATCCAAGACTGTCTAAGTCATGCTTGCACAATCAGGAAATCATCACAACACAATGGATTCTGGAAGACAAGTTTACTGAATTTTGGATGGCCACCACGAAGAGCAAAGAGCCAACACCTCGGTGCTATGCCATGAAATGCCATCTTTCTACTATACCCAGAGACACTCGGTTAAAACCTCTTTCCCATAAACATTAAACAAAGCAAACTATATCTGAACATCCAACTAGAAACACAGGAGACTACAAACCCTGAAAAGGAGTCCAGTACACTCTTTTACATTGCTCTTATGACTACACACAAGAGACTCACCTTGATCCTCCTGAAAAGGGTAGGAAAGCATGACTGTGATAAGTAGCATCTGGTGCAAACCGGGTAGGATCAAACACCTGCAGAGAAAGCATGCAGCCTGAAAGATGGAGTCAAGAAACTTCTTCCAACCCTCAAGGGCACAGGAGCCTTAAAGTGGGAGCTGAAAGAGATGCTCCTGAGAGATTGTTCCACACTCTCCTCAGGGGTGTTCATACCTCCGGGTTTGGCCACACATTTGGGTTGTGGTGAAGACCATAAACGGAGAGTACAACTGTGATACCTGCAGGGTAGATAAAAGACCGAGAGAAGACTGATCATACCCACTGGGTAGGGTGCAGTTCCTTCAGCCACAAGGGGTCATGCAAGCACTAAAGTTCTGGATGGCACAAATCCTCACTTTTTACAGGATAATCCTCTACCAGGCAAGTGGGGTGAGCTTGACAAAACTCCTGAGCACAGGTAAGGAATAGGATACAGTGAACCCAAGGATGAGAAGCAAGTAGAGGAAACCTGCAGTTTGTAGTAACTAAAGTGAAAAGTGACATGCTCAATTATTTTCTGTGAGCTTTTGGAAAATACACATCCACCCAGTATTCACAAGAACACTCTAGGGAAGACTACCTCTTGTGCAGCTAGAAAGTGATGTGGGTCAGACCCACTGACTGGTGTGCCAACAAGTGGTGTTTTCCAACAGCTGGAATTAAATTCTGTTCATCAGTTGCTTTCCACTATCAACGTGACAACTCCTCACAGACTGGCCTATATGTGACCCTGACACAAGATTTTCTGATCTGCCTCCTATACCTTGATCCATAAGGACAGAGCACATCTTCTTCTCTCCAAGTTGATTTTTTTCTACAGGCCTCCACACCTCCGGGAATGAGAATTTTCATGCTACAAGCTATAGTCAAGGGAATAACCTATATTTCTTGAGAATTGGCTGTGTTTAAGCACCATGCCAAGCTTTTTCTGCATGTTACTCAAATTGCCAAGTCAGCAACCTTCTCAATGACGAGGAAAGGAAGATCCAGAAAGGTTTAGAAGCACTAGTACCTGGTAGAATTTTCAGTCCTCACATGTCCCTGTAAAACATGTAGCTGAGTAAGGGTAGCATGTGCATACCTTCAGGTAAGGAGCGTCCATCAGGGAAGGTGACCGGCTTGCTGAGCTCTCTGCTGAAGTTTGGCACTGGTGGATAGATCCTCAGTGCCTCCTTGATGCACATAGTGGTGTAGGGCATCTTGTCCAGGTGGTCCCTAAAACAATGCCAATGCAGGGAAGGGACAGGGCTGGGCACACCAGGGCACCCCTCTCACACAGGCAGGGTCCTCCCACCTCTTGGGCCTTCACTCACCAGCTGATAGAGGCTCCATCCCCCAGGATGCTCTGGATCTCCTCGCGGCACCTCTGCTGATGCTCTGGGTGTGCAGCCAGAGCATAGAGGATCCAGGAGATGCCACTGGCTGTGGTGTCATGGCCCTCAAACATGAATGTGTCCACCTCGGCCCGCAGGTCCTCATCAGACAGACTGCTCCCGTCCTCCATCTTGGGCAGACCACAGGGAGAGAGCAGGCTCAGTCCCTGCTCCCATGCCTCTGAACCAGCCTTTGAGCTGACCTGCACACACTGACCTTGGCAAATAGCAGGATGTCCAGGAAATCCAAGCGCCTCTTGTTCCTGATCTTCTCCAGCTCTCCTTCTTCCTGCAGGCGAGCCTTCCTCAGCTTGATCACTCGATCTATCCCAGAGCAGAGGTTGTCAGGTGGAGCTGAGAGCTCCTGTCACCCTCAGGAGCCCTACCTGTTCCTATATCACACCCTTAGGCATTAGAGTGAGTGTGGGAATAAGTGGATGTGTGGTTCAGTTGTGAAAAGTGCCATTTCCCTTTTCTCAAAGTTATTTATTTGAAAGGAAACCTGACAGAATGACAGAGGTGTGTGTGTTTGAGAGAGGGAGCAAAATCTTCCATCTTCTGCTTTATTCCTCAAATGCCTGTAAAAGCTAAGATTGGGCCAGGCCAATGCCAGGAGCCAGGAACTCCATCTGCATCTGCATCTCCCACATGGGTGCAGGGACTCAAGTACTTGAGACAGAAAATGCTGTATTTTTGGGTTCATTAACATTGTGCTGCATTTGAAGTGGAGGTGAGATCCAATCCCAGGCACTTAGATAAGAGATACTAAATGTCTCTGGTGATTGCTTAACTCGTTGTATTTCAACTCCCATGCTACAGTATTGTCTGATATAGTGAGCCTCTGTTTGCTAGCACTGTCCAGGAGCCTCAGCTAACGTTGCTAGCTTGGGGCCTCATTCAACCATTACCAGTGTGATGGCACAGTGAATCTTTGCTCAGCACCTGGCATCATACCCTCTTCGCTCCTGACTCTTGCACCAGGAAGTACCCAGCATGAGTGTGTCCCATCTCTAACAAGGAGTCTAGCTCTGCCTTGGGGGGGTCCAAGCAATTTCCCTGTGCTCTGTCTGGTGAAGGAGGGAAAACCAGAGGTGAGGACAGAACCTGTGTGCTCATGGGCAAGCTGGCAAGCACGTTGTGATAAGCGGCCTTGAGGACTCAGCTTGTAGAGGGTGTCGCTGTGGTGAAAGACATTCCTCACTCGGGCAAACATCAAGGCATTCAGGTCCCCAACAGCCTGGATGTAGGACTTGGAATTCCTGAAGGAGAGGATACAGAGGAGATGAGAGTGGAGGGACCTGTGATCTGGAGGCAGAGTGGGGCTTTGGGAGGAGATCTCTCACATAGTGGAGAGAGGCAGTACTGAGACATGTGTTGTGCCTCTGTAAGCTGGCAGGGAGCCAGGCTTCAAGTGGAAGCTGGATCCAGGATTGTGGCTGAGGCAGGATGAGGTCTGGTCTGCAGACCTTGTTGAGAGCTTGTTGTGGGGCTTGTCAGAATCTTATCTTGTGTGGAGGTGAGCATGGGAGCTGCCATACTTTGCTGCCAAGTGTGTGTACATTGGCTGGTAAGAACAAGGCGCTGTATCTGAAGGTCACTGACCTACTATCTAGCTGGATGCTGCTCTCGTGGCTGAAGGCACACTTCATGATGGTGTCCAGGGTCATCAAGGAAACATGCTGAAAGATCTCCACAGGTGAGGGCTGCTTTTCCCACTGGTCCTGCAGGAGAGGGCATTGAGTTTGATTTTCTCTTGAATTCTGCTCCTGGCCAGCAGATAGTATGTTTATATTCCCAGATTAACATTTAGGATTGTTCATTTTGTATAACATATGGTTTAGAGGTCATTAAGACTGTAAAGTAGATGTTTGTAAAGTGATGCTTTTTTTTTTCTTTAGGTGACAGGACTCTGATGTTATGAGGTCTTAGCTAGTTGTGAGACACTGTTGGAGTCAATGTTAAAAGGCAATTGTGTTTCTGAGGACTGCTCAGGGCTCCTGGCTGTTGTTCTGATGATATTAGGTCCTGTAAGGAAAGATCCGGGCTTCTTCCATCTTATGTGGGAGATCCGATAGGGAATGGATGACCTGAGAGTTCTCGGCCAGGAGCCCTGAGTGGTCTTCAGAAACAGAACAGTAAGATTCCTTTGGGACTTGGGGGAGGACTTTCTCTGGTCCTAACTTAGTTCCAGCTTTGGATCCCCACCCTCTCCTGAAATGACCATCAGGGTCACTCCAGAGCACCTTACCCCCCCTCCCAAAATTAGACTAGATAGACAGAGACCAATAAGGAAAACTTAGAACAGACAGGAAACGGTCAGGTTGGACTCACATACACCTTACTAGGTAGGACACAAAGATTAGTCACTCCTCACTACGGTATTGAAGGTTTCTCTGCACATCCCGTCTAAAACTGTTCTGCACCTCAAGTGTTAACATATGCTTTGTTAGAGTTATAAGCCTGTTTGGACTATCCTATAATTCTCCAAGTTCAGTAAAAATCATGCTTCAATACTATAAGCTGCTAAATATAAAAAAATGAAAACAGACATGAGACATCTGAATAGTACCCTATAGTATTTTAAGGTGTATAGCAGCTGGTTGTGTATAAACTAAAATTGAAATGTCAATGAAGTAGTCACAGGATGTGGTCAAGAACTTGCATTTTCTAACATATTGGTTACTCAATACCATGTCAATTAACTCCATGATGGTATAAATTGTTATTGATGTTGTGTTGTGGCTTTACATTGGAGGGGATGATATTCTACCAGCTATACTTTCAGACGGGGGATGGTCTCCCAATGAAACTGTTGAATTTATCTGGACCATAGGACGCTGGACTCTATGCATGGTGGATGCCCACAATGAAGGAATCATGACTGGACATGAACTGTTCCACTGCAACAATGTGGAGGAATCCACCATGGGGGGAGGGAATGGGGAGGGGTTGGGGGAATCCCAGAGCCTATGAAACTGTGTCATAAAATGAAATTTTAAAAAAAGGCAATTTTATCAAGACAGAAGGAGAAAGATGCAAGCACTAGTATTTGCATTCCTAATGGTATACTGTTAGAAATCCCATTTCTTTTCCATCCATTAAACATTTGCTGGACACATATGAGTGAGATATCAGATTTCTGACAACAGGTGGTGGTATGGCAGGTAAGACTGTATCTCTGGTGTCTATTGCACCTCACAGGTGAATCATAAACTCAAAATGACCTGGGTCCCAAACATAGTGTGGGGAATGACATCATGGGGTGTTTGCCTTACCATTGATATTGCCATTGAGCAATTCACACAGTGATAGGCCATTTTGCTGTTCTGTGGGAATGACTACTCCTCCAGCCCTCAGTGCTGAAGACTTAGAAGTGAGAAGAGAGATATTTGCATCCTCACTGTCTCTAACACTTTATGGAGCCATCTTTCCACAGTAATGATCTAAGAGAGCTTTTCCACATGGCTATGTCTGATGGCTGTCTGTGGGACACATATGCTTAATAGAGGAGTCTGAGTATATACTGAGAGTGTTGTATGGAGTAGAGAAAGGGAGGCAGGGGCCTGGCACAATGGCCTAGCGGCTAAAGTCCTCACCTTGAACACACCCGGGATCCCATATGGGCGCCAGTTCTAATCCTGGCAGCTCCACTTCCCATCCAGCTCCCTGCTTGTGGCCTGGGAAAGCAGTCAAAGATGACCCAAGGCTTTGGGACCCTGTACCCGAGTGGGATAACCAGAAGAAGTTCCTGGATCCTGGCTTCTGATCAGCATAACACCAGCCATTGCACTCACCTGGGGAGTGAATCATCAGATGGAAGATCTTCCTCTCTGTCTCTCCTCTTCTCTGTATATCTGACTTTCCAATAAATAAATAAAATCTTTAAAAAAAAAGAAAGAAAGGGAGGCGGACTCACCAGCATCAGTTTGACGGACTCCACCATGAGCCCCACGTAGGGTTTCAGGATGTCATAGTGGAAGGCGGGAGTCAGCATGCGCCGGTGCTGGAACCACTTCTGCCCATTCAGCAGCAGCAAACCATACCCTGGGCCAGAGATGTCATGTGGATATATGTTTGGAGATGAGATTTGAGAGATATTGGGAGGTAATTTGGGAAGAACAGATGAGAGAAAAACAGAAGGTGAGCTAGCTTACAGAAAGGCAGGAGAGGCACAGTATATTAAATAAATATGATTTTCCTAGCCAGGCTGTTGTGGGAGATGTAAATTACAGGTTGAAAAAAGTTGAGGGACCTATTTGAACGTTAGGCTGATAATGTTGCAAAGAATTGAAAAGTATGTGAAGGAGCTGGGCCTCAAGAAGGCTCATGCCAGCATTTGGAAAGAGTAAGTGTCTGTTTAGGAGGAAAATGAGACTTCATGATGTTCTGAACCAGTTAGCTCCTTGACAAAGCTAACTGGCAAATGCAGGCACTTCTAGTTCAGTTGTACATACCAATCCAGGGAGCAACTAATCTGTAGGAACCATGAGCCTTTGGATCTGAAAGGTAAGTAAAAGCTTTATAGTAAACTTGCCATGACCAAATGAAGTAGCCCCCTAAGTAGCTGTCATTCAGAATATGGGCTACCATCTGTTCTTGAGGACTATCACTTGAAGATTGGGGTTGGTCCCAGTAACTTCTCCTTTGCTTCTCACCCGCTTCTATCTTGTCCTGAAAATCTGTTGTGCTCAAGAAGGCGAACTCAGGGCCCCAGCAGCCCAGCTTCCCCAGGACCAAGATAACCTGACAAGAAATTCAGGCTGTGTCCTCTCTCAAAGAACAAGACAAATCCTGCATATAATTTTTCTGCAATAGGTCTTGGCCTGGCCACCCTGTGACTAGGGTAGCCAATAGTTGGACCTTTTAAACCTAGATTGGGATGTATATGAAATTTGTTTTGAGATCTGGAGCAGCTTATATAATAGATCACTTAAATTTGCCTACAAAACCAGGAACAAAAAAGAGGCTGAGGCTAAGAAATTCAGTCCTACACAGCTGTTTTAAATATTTAATAGTAATTAAATACTTTAATCTTTAGGCTGTGTCATGAGAATATTGGAGAGTTGATGGAGGGCTCACATAGTACTGTTTCACTGCCAGTGTCTTGTGAAATTCTATAACCTCAAGGACACATTCTCAAGAGAGAACTGTTCCAGCTGCAATGTGGGTTTCATTCTCACCTGATCTCCCCAGTATCATCTTCATGTAGTCTGGGTCATAGAGATGGACACGGGCTTTGCTGCCTCCTAGCCAGAGAGGACAGGCCTTTGGGTACTTCTCTACCCATTTCACGATATGTTCTATCTCCTTGTCCATCTGGAACTGTCACCAATGGAAAGACAAATGAATGACAACCTTCATTTTATTCTATTCCTCTTAATGAATGCAAAGGACGCTCCGAGGGAGGCAGCCCTGGATCCGTCAGCAGAAGTGAGGGTTGTGGAGCTGTTTCTGGTGGTCTGGACTCCCCAGACCCTGATCCCATGTTGGGATGCCTCAGCAGAGTTTTCTGCAAAAACTCAAAGTAACTGCCTACTGAATATGGATCCAGTGATTGCCCATGGCCTTCTGACAATCATGCTTACCAGCTCTGAAAATTGTTGAGCACCTGCCATATGCCAAGCACTGGCTCAGGAACTTAATTAGGATTTAGTTTTGAATTGGCTCTATTGTTGGGCAGATAGAAGTTTGAGAGATCAAACAGTAGAAGACATAATGACTCAGATGCAAAGAAGCCCAAGCACCTAGAGAGACTGTGGGGAGGAGCCTGACTAAGAACCGAACGTTAGGAAACCCTTCCTCATTCACGCGCTCATTCAGTGACTGAGTCACCACTTACTAACGGGCTCTTGGGTTACAGAGATGAGTCAGATTTCTCCTAGCAAGACCCCAAAGGGAGGACACTACAAGAAAACACTGCTTATTTCAGAAGAAGGACAGTCCATAGGAATAAATATTGCCTCCTCCATTCCTTGGAGATGAGATCCAAGAGGACTTGGAGAGATGGTTTGGGACTGGGCCTTGTCAGGTAGATGGAGGGACAAGGTTATTTCAGGCCAGCAGCACAGGGTAAGCAGAGATCCAGGGGTTAGAATGAACAGGCAGGCATGCAGGATAATGAATAATTTAGCACAGACTAAGATAGTAAGAGGGAAAGTGAGGGAGAGAGGTGTTGACAAAGATCTGTGTAAGGCGAAATGTTTCCATTTGCCATCTTAGGCTCCATTCTACTTGTATTCCTTTGGCCTTCTTCTGTATAAACTGAAAAATGTCATCTTTCTGCAAACATCAACCTCTATCTCTCTCCTTTTTTCTAAGAACTTATTTTTCCAGCTAGCGGCAACTGCTTAGGTTGTCACTTACCTAGGAAAGGGTTACACTGCTGAGAGAAAAGCAGCCAATGCTGGCAGGCACTCTGGGCCTAGTTAATGCCAAATTTATGTAACTATACAACTGTACCAGTGTAGTTGCCTATTCTATTTTTTGTTTTTTCAAAGATAGGTGGGGGGCCCAGGCATGGTAGCCTAATGGCTAAAGTCCTTGCCTTGCATGTGCTGGTACCCCATATGGGTACTGGTTTGTGCCCTGACTGCTTCACTTCCTTTCTAGCCCCCTACTTGTGGCCTGGGAAAGCAGTAGAGGACAGGCCAAAGCCTTGGGACCCTGCACCCACGTGGGAGACCCAGAAAAAGCTCCAGGCTCCAGACTCTTGGCTTTTGATCAGCTCAGTTCCAGTCATTGCTGTTGCTTAGAGAATAAACTAGCAGATGGAAGATCTTTATCTCTGTATCTCCTTCACTGTGTAAATTTGACTTTCTAACAAAAATAAAAATCAAATATTTGAGAAAAAAAGATATGTGGGGAAAGCAGGGAATGCCAGGCTGAGACATGTCAATCTGGCTCCCAGGCTGGGGATTCGGAGATTGCGTTATGTGATGTGAGGACACAATGAGAGTGGCTGACAGCATGTTTGATCAGGGAGGAATGGCTTCTGGTGTTTTCCAAGAAGCAGGCCACTAGACTGGTGGATGAAATGGAGTGATTTAAGAGGTGGGAAACCATAAGCCATTGTCTAGGTCAGACCAAGGCAACCACCAATGTGGTCTGGGCTAAATAGCATTGCACACCAAACACCGACACATGCAAAAGCTGGGGCTGGGACACATACATGATTGGGCTAGGCTGCAGTAACCACCCATGAATGTCAGAGCAGGTAGGGGGTCACGTCAGGCTGGGCCACAGCATCCACCAGAAAGTGAGAAAAACTGATCTGATCTGATCTGGGGGCAGATTCTGCAGGGGAATTGTGGGCTCACCTCTCTAGGACTGCAGCACTTGCAAGTTTGCAGAGTTGGGGCTAGTGATGGTCTGGACCACTGAACTTATCTGACACTTGCGGGAGGTGGGGCTGGGAAGAGGCTGAGCTGAGCTAGGCTGCACCACCCACCTGCATTTGTGAAGGTCAGGACTGAGGGCAAACCATATCAAGCAGGGTCATGGCACCCACTAGCATGCACAAGACCCAGGCCAGGGAGTGGATACAGGAACTTTGGGGGATCCCTTCCAGGGCTGCCCCTTCCATTGGTGAGCATATAAGTGCTGGGACTAGGTACAGGCCAGTGTATGGCTAGTATGGGCTGGGCTAGGCTGCTGAACCCACTGGTGCATAAGAAAGCCAGAATGGATGATGGGTAGCTAGGCTAGGTCACAGCACCTGCTGGCAAGTGCTGAAACTGGGTGCGAGTCATATCAGCCTGGAAACACAGTACTCCATGATTGGTCCAAGATCCGAGGCTGGGAGGGAAAATGTGGGCCCTCCCTGGTTGGGCTGCAGTTCCTATTGGTGAGCATGAGAGTCAGGACTGGGAGTTAGGCCAGGCTGGTCACAGCATATGTGTGGGTCGGGTGTGGGAGAACGTGATTTTGAACTAAGCCACAATACCCGTGACTGTGTATTTGAGCCAGATGGGCTGTGGAATGGAGTAGGCTAGGCTGCAGCACATTGTGGCACAAGCCAAAACATGGGTTTGGCTGTGTCTGGCTGGTCTTGCTGACAGTCACCCCTACTAGGTCATGGCACTTGCTGGTATGTATGAAAATGGCATGTGGTAGGCTGGGCTTGGGCTGGGCTGCAGCACCCATTAGTTTGTTTAAAAGATTAGGCTGGAGGCAGAACTGACCAGGTATATGAATTGGCCAGTGCTGGCAGTTGACAGACTGAACTTGATCCTGCATTGCCTGTTGCATCCAAGCCAAGTCTGAGGTCATGCCAGGCAAAGTTTCTTAGGGGACTCCTCAAGTAGATGGCTGAACTCAGATACTATCACTGGGGAAAAAAATCACAATATATGTGGCCCAACCTTGGAGTGTAGGTGTGAGGATTGGGTCTCCTCAGTTGCTGATACCTATGTGATGGACAGCATGTCCATATGTACATGGGACCATGATAACCAGCTCATCCAGGCTAGCAGAGAATGGCAAAAGCCTTGTCAGAGGATGAAAAGCAGAAAAGGTTGGACCACTGTCCTGGCCAGGCTATATGACATATTCCTGGACCTGTGGATGAACCAAGGTGGAGTTGATCAGCCAACAGACCTTGGAAACGTTTTCCTCAATCCTCATGCAATAAAACCCATGAAGTCTCAGAGTTATCAAAACCACTCAAGTAACACCCTCAGAAAACTCTTCCCCACACTGGGGCCTCTAAGGTGTTATTAAACAACTGTCTCCAATATCCAATTGCTAATGTAGTTTGGCAGCAAACAATGGGCCCATCCTTTTCACCCCTTGCACAGGAGAAAAAAATTGAAACATTTGTTCCACCCACCTTTCTTCATACTTCTCCACCTAATTAAAGACGTACATGGGTATGCATTCATCTCAACTATGTAAGTAATATTAAAAATAAAATAAAATTTAAAAATGAAAGGATTTATTTTATCTATTTAAAAGTCAGAGTTACAGAGGGAGGAGGAAAAAGAGAGAGAGACCAGAAACCACTCATAATTGATCCATTCCCCCAAATGGCCGCAATAGCCACTGCAGGGCTGGATCAAAGCTGGAAACCAAGAGCTTCTTCCGTGTCTCCCAGTGGGAGCAGAGACCCAAGGACTTGGGTCATCTACTGTTGCTTTTCCAAGGGCTCTAGCAGGGAGATAGGTAGGAAATGGAGCAGTGAGACTTGAACCAGTGCCCAAATGGGATGCTGGCATTGTATGTGGTTTCTTTACCTGCTATGTCAAAACACCGATCCCAACCCTCCACCTCTTAAGCTTGGTTCATCCACAATTTTCTACTGTGAGATCCTCATCATATATCCCTGTGCCTACTTCTCTTTTCCCTATTTACAGGGTTGCAGTACAGGATAGGGACTAAAGTATTTGCTGTTCCTCCCCAGACCTTGACCTGCTCCCTTTCTTTTTTACTGTCACTCCACACATCTGAGCAGAGCACCCTGATGTGTGATTCTGTGCCGGGTCCTGTGGTGCAGGGGTGCATGTGGTGCTAAGGAGCTCACAGTTCAGAGGGCAGTGGAAAAAACTGGGCAGGAAGTGTTCCTGGTTAATGTGTGATTCAGTGCTCATGGTCTGAAAGAGTACACCATCCCCTTCATGAATTCCCGTTCTGGAAATTTCAGGTCTAAGACAAGTTGAGCTCTTGACTCTCGATAGCCGGTATCATCCACTCTCATCTGACAGAATGTGCTCTCCCTGTGTCCCAGTTCCTTCTGAGACCCCTATCACCTTCACACAGTGTGACCCTGCAGAGCAAAGATCCCACCAGACTGATGACTTTGCCCCCATGAATGTTCAAGGCCAGGCATGGAGGATGGGATTGAGTCACAGGGCAAAGAAATCTCATGAAGCCTAGTTCTAGGAGAAACATCTGTAACCTCTGGCAGTAGAGGCAGGGAGGCACGGCCTCAAGGCTGGGTCAGGAAGAGTCAGTCAATGTTGTTCAAGTTTGGGGCTGCCAGGACAGTGGGCAGATGTGCCTGAGGAGAGAGTATGTGCCAGAGCTGGGTCACAGCTGGATAGGCTGCCAGTGACACTGGGAGCTACCCATTACTAGGATGAGTGCAGACATATGAGGTCACCTTCACATTTTCTAGAGGCCACATGATCATCAGCCTGCAACACTGCATCCTGCAGACCTGCTGACCAGACTCCAAGAGCCCTGGCTGCCCCCACCCACACACTCCCCTCTGCCCTTCGTTCCTACCTCTCGCCAGTGCCCAAAGAACCAGTGGGAAGGAGGGCTCGGGAACTGCTGTAAGACTTTGAGCAGCCACTGGCGTTGCAGGTAGAACTGGCCGGCCTGGAACAGCAGCAGAAGCAAGCCCAGCAGGAAGGCCACTTGCAGGAGCCCAGAGATGCTGCCCAGGAACCTGACGGGGCTCAGTGCGGAGACACTCATGGTTCAACAGCTACCGGACCTGTGAGCATTCCTCTCTCTCACTCCCAAAAGGAAATTTATTTAAGTTCTGGGAGGATTGCGCAATCTATTTGAGGGGGAGGATTAAGGTTGAGAGCAGAGATTGGATCTCATCATGCAGAGTTGCTTAACACAGAAGAATGCAATTTGAGAAACAACAAAAAAAAGTCTTAGCAAAGCACAGTGATAATATACACCTACTTTCCTCTGTATGTATTACTTAGAATTATTTTATGGGTAACTTCCATATGTCAGGCCCTGTGCTGGGTAGTGGGGCTTAGCTGTAAGAAATACAAACATGAACCCCAACTTGAGGGAATCCAGTCTAGTTTACCAAGTTCATATTGGTTCTAGAGACCATCTCCCTAAATTCAGGGATGAGAACCTGATTATAAAGAAGCAAAGAGATGAATTGTAGGGAAAACAGACATCCACACCTGGAACAGGATTTTAGTCATCCTCTGATGGATCCTATCACAGCCTATCCCAGAAGCCTCTAAAAGTTCCCTGGGGTCTGCCCTGCACACTTCCCGGCTTTGCCCAGGTGTCTCTGCTGGCAAATGGATCGATGGACATGACCTCAAGAAGTTCTAGCCCCAGATCAACTTCACTGCTGCTCTAGCCAGAAACTTACCCTCTCAGGTCCTTGATTTCTTCTTTAATAAAAGTAGGTTAATTCTCTCCCTATCCTCTGATGGAACTGCTCATTCTTGGAGCCACTCATTCATTTGAAAAATCTCTATTGACGTCACGGTCAGGTAGATAGAGACAGTAACAGAATCAATGCAATGAAACTTTGAACATACTTCAGAAACTTTGAAGAAAGTAGAATGAAAATATGTTTTTTTTATTGCAAACACTTTTGAAATACAGGCATGATATATATATTTTAAAAATAACCCATTTTTTTAAATGTATTTGAAAGAGAAGCATACACACACAGAGAGAAATTCCTTTGTATTTGCTGGTTCACACCCTGTCTACTCTTGTCCCCAAATCAGGATCCAGCAACTGCAGCTGAACCTCCCACAGGGATGGTGGGAACCCACACATGTGGGCCATCATCTGCTGCTTCTCAAGTGCATCACTGGGAAACTGAGTTGGAAGCATGGAGTAGCTGGGACTCAAAGTAGATGCTCTGTTGTGGGATATGGCATCCAAAATGGTGGTTTAACATTCTGAAGCACAATGTCTACCCTTGATTTTTTTCTTAATACACATCTTCCATGAACTTTTTATTACTCTCATTTGAATATTTCATATTGGGGAAAATAAAAACCAGCAAAGAAGAGTATTAACACAAAATATAAGGATTTATAGGAGTCCATGGGGGAACAGTACTAAATAAGGAATCAATTGGGTCATGGCCATTATACAAAAGTGGACAAATGGAATATGTTCATTTTCAAGATACTCACCCTCACTTATAACTATTTAAACTGTTTTAAAAATGTTTGAGATACAATACTTTTAATTATTTTTATAATCAGTGGCTTTATATTTCACTGACTAAAGAGTTCAATAAGCAGAAAGAAAAACAGTTCAGCAGGAGCATAAGCAAAGACCATAAATAATACATGATTGAAAATACGTCAACTTTGTCAATATGTAATAATATAAGCACATATATCAATATATATACAGATTTCATGATATATAGAGATATTTGCAATATATACATATTTCATGATATATATACAAATATATGCAATATGTATCATATGCAGATATATACAATATATACAATATACAGATTTCATGAGAGTCACAGAGCATCAAAATCATAGCAGTATATAATTTCTAACAGTTTGGCCACCAAAGATTCAAAATAAGTTGGGCAAAATATTATACCTTTGGAAAAAGTGGTATACACAGGCATTTTTTCATTATTTGTTCCTGTTGTTTTATTTTTTTTTTTAAATTGGCTCCCATGTATAAAGAAGAATATGTAGAATTTGTCTTATGGAGTCTGGCTTATTCCACTCAGCATGATGTCATTCAGCTGCAACCATTTTGATATAAATTATAGACTTTCATTCCTTTAATAGCTGAATAATATTCCTCTATGTGTGTGTTTGTGTGTATGTAATGCCTGAAATTCTGAGCATAAAACACAGTTGGTTGGGTGTCAGATTTTGCAGGGGTGTGTAATTCCTTCATGTCTGGCTCTTTCACCAATCTAAACTCCTTCCAAGCAGCCACCTCTTAGCATGTGTCATGTTACAGTGTCATTGAGGACAGAGTTCTGTTTCCTTTAAATTGTTGGCCTTTTCTACAGCATTGAGTGAAAAATACACAACTATTCCTAGACACTGATTTGGGGGTGGAGTGGATGAACCAGCAAATAGAAGACCCTTACCTCTGCTCCAGTTTTGTATTTGGTTTCTATCCATGTGTCCTCTTGGACCTCGACTTCTGTCCCACTTGGCTCAACCTCCATTGTCTACCTACGACATGATGTGTAGTCAAGGGAAGGATTTAGGAGTCAGAAAATTGGGCTTTGAATTCCTGTGGAGACCTCCTTCTCTGGATCTTGTGTTCTCCATGGCTCACTCATAAATTCCTATTTGTTAACTTTAGTAGGCTCCTACCATATCCAGGGAAGCAAAGATAAAACCTTACATAGCTTCACAAACATAGTACAGAAGAGTTTTATATATTTAAAAAAAACCTGTGCTGCAGGTGGAAAATTTAAGGCACAAAAAAGTTAGCTGCTTGCCTTGGGTCATTCAGTTTGTAAGAGGTGTAGTCAGGCTTCTAACTCAAGCATACTTGTTCCAGAAACACTGTTAATGCTTGGTGTGAAGGATTTGATCATTAGGTTGAGCCTCCAGTCAATATGGCAGTTCTCAGGATTTCCCAGGAAGACTTCATGTTTGCTGTGTCTTATCCAGTGTTTTCAAGTATCATGAAAATCTATCAGTTTTTCTGTTCCGCATATTTGCATGAACATAAGCTCCACAGTTGACATCAACTGCTGTGGGAAGATGTATGACAGGCCACATGGCCAAGTATAGCATAGTGATAAAAAATAATGTTCAGGGAGAATTTGGAAGCATATGAGTAAAGCTTGTAGCAAAGTGATCAAAGGACAACATAGAACAATATGCAGTGGATGATCTTAACTCTCAGAAATGCTGTGTTTGGTATTGGCAAGATTTAATAAGTAAATTTTCCCACTCACTTAGTACTTGTATTCCCATCAAGGAAAACCAGGCATTCTACATTCTCTTGCTGCCCATAGAATAGACCAGAGGTTTGTGGCTATTGATGCCCAACAAATGCTATATGATGAATGAAAGAGCAAGGAAAAGAATCAACACTGGACTGGATAGATTGTTGCTGTGCACAGACAAGGCTTGGTTGAGGTGTCACAAGTTGAATCAGTTTATAAGCAAAAATAAACAAAACATCAAAACAAAATAAAACAAACATGCAGAAGAGGGCTTATGAGTATATCACCCCAGGCTGTTCTTGCTTTCTGAGTCCTGAAAAAGTTGAACTTGATAGTCTTGCCATTTTCTATATTTTGGTTACTTTCACTTTTCCACAAGATTGAATCTCCCAGGCAGGAGCTCTTGCCTCTTCCTTCAAGTTGCTTTGTTTAAGAAAAGTTTACACACCATAATATTTACCCATATACTAATGAATGGTTGAATGATGTTTCATATTTTCTAATTGGAACAATAAGTAGAACATAAAGTTCAACATGTTAAGCAATGAAAAAGAGAGGGAAATAATAATTCCCACTGAAAACACAGTTATTGAAATGTCATACTGTATCTTAAAAATATGTACAATACTTGTTTATGAAAACTTAGAACAATCTCTCATTGTTGGTTTTCTTTCTGGTGCCTGCAAATAGTGAGGGCTAGACTGGGCCGAAGTCAAGAAACAGGAACTCAATTCAGATCTCCCACATGGTTGGCAGGAACCAAACTACTTGACCCAACACTGCTGTCTCCCAAGGAACAAAATATTACCAAGAAACCGGGATTGGGAGCCAGAGCTGTGTCTCAACCCAGCTATTCCAAGATTGGATGAAGGTATTTATTTATTTATTTGCCCAAATGCCTGTCACTGTCTCTTATTTTATATGGTAGGATGAGAATCCTTTTTCCGAATTTATCACAGTGCTGTTTTATTTTCTATTCAGTTTTTAAACAATACTGTCTTTACAATCTAGTGGAGGAAAGCACAAAACTAAAAATTTTTAAAAAGAGGAGTTTATGTTGGAGAAATGAAATTTTCATCCACAAAAAAAAGAATGATCTGATAAAGAATGGGGTGGAAGATGGCAGCTGAGTGGTCACTGCCTTTCCCCAGACATGATAATTTGAACAGGCACTCACACACCAATTCATTTCACAGGGGCTAGAGAAGCCAGGTGAGAGACCAACATGCTGTCTTTAAGTGCATTGGTGGAAGTAATATATAAGAAGCCTCAAATAGTGCAATGTGAACAGAGGCACTTTCTACTTAGTCCACTGCAATAAGATTCAGGCTCACATCTGCAGACTAATTATTTGGTCCTTCCCTAGCTTGGTGGCCTCTGCCTCCCCTCCCCATATATTATCACAAAGTGGATTACTGCTTCAGCTGAGTGGAGTAGGCAGGAGAAGATTAGGATTATGTCTTGCAGCTGAGAGTTTGGTCTGGCACCATGAGACCAACCACCTGATAAAGCCAAAAGGCCTTTGCCCCATGACTCATGTTCATAGTCAGAGCCTCTGGGACCTATTCCTCATGGGACAAATTCATTCTAGTGCCTGTCATCAGCAACTCCAGGTGGACCTGGCATGCATTCCTGGGACTTGGCTGGGCCTGTGCCTGTGGGATCCAGGTGTGACCCGGCCTGGTGACAGTTTGGGTATGTCAAGGGCTGCCTTTACCACCCACTTCCAACCCTGGACAGACAAAAGGGACTATATTTGGGCAGCCAGTGTTAAACAAGTAAAGGCTAACACTGAGTAGCTGTCTAATGATCCTAATGGTCACTATGGATGGA